AATGGCACATATTGTACCCTTCAGCCAGCAATGTGCTAAAGAGCTGTACGTCCCTTAGCTCATTTAATTGTCAACGCAACCCTTGGACGAGACGCCATTGCTCGTCCCCATTTCATCGGTGAAAAACAGAAGCTTCGAGAAGTTGAGAGGGACGCCCAAGGAGGCACAGACCCTTTTTCCCTTCAATGCCTCCTTCCAGCCTGTGTCTTCGCCACCCCTCTGCCTCCGGGCTGAGCTGCCTCTTAGGGATCCAGTCCCAGAAGAACTTCCAGAATCATCGCACCCGTCAGGGTGCTTCCCAGAGCATCAGGCTCTCCCTGCTGCATGACACGCCGTCAACGGCCAGAGAAGGCTGTCCTGAAGCTGTGGTGATCACTTTCCGGTTTCCCAGGAAAGTGACATCCCTTTGACGCCACATGATAGATCGAGACAGTACTTTAGCACACTGTCAGATAAATGCGATAAGCCTAACGGGTGTACAGAGAGGGCTTTCATTTCTTTTATCTTATCTCATCGTTTGGGCAGGTCCAGACTCTTCGATGATATGGAAGAGAAACGCACTCAATCTTTCTCAGTTAAAAAGTGGGTTTGTTGCAGATAGGCAGGGAGATGGGAGGGAAGTCACCGCAGGAGGTAAAGGCAGGTGCGGGAACACCCCCCACCCCCTCAGACCACCTCTCTTCCTCTCCTGTCTGCTGATTCCCTTTCAAATGTTTCCGTCCAATTGCAAAATAAGTTCCTTCCCTTTCCTGCTTTAAGCCCGGCCGACGACTCTCTTCTCCGTCATGCCCGGCGTGGCAAGGCTGTTTGATCCCTCGTCTCGGTCTCGGTGGCCCACTGATCACCCTGTCCCCACAGGTAAAACCCCAGAAGAGGTGCTGAAGAAGTATCTGCAGAAAGTCCGGCACCCACCAGACGAGGTGAGTGCAGGGGAGCAGGGCAGGGCTCCCCTTCCTCACCAGCCACGAGCATTTCCTCTGCCAGAGTTTTCCAAGTCCTGACAGGTCCGGAGCCTGTCAGAGCGGACGCCCGCCCGGGCTCCAGGGTTGGTGGTCTCTGAGTGACAGCTGAACCTCTCTCTCTTCCCCATTCAGCACAGAGCTGGTCGATCCTAAACGACCTCAACATGACACTCTGAATTTAAGAAAAAAACGGTATAATAAGACACGGGGCCTGACTTCAAAATGGGCTTGCTATAGCTCAGTGGTTCACAACCAGAGGCGATCTTGCATGACTCTAGGGGGAGAGGGGTTGCTGCTGGCATCTAGTGGGTAGAAGCCAGGGCTGCTGCTAAACACACTTCAGGGCCTGGGACAGCCCCCAGCAGCCAAGGATTACCCCGCTCCAAATGACAGTGCCACAGTGAAGAAATCCTGTTGTAGATTTATTTAAATAGCAGCCCCTTTAGTACCCTAGAATTATCATTTCTTTACAGAAGTTCAGCTTAAATAAAGTTTGTCAATGGGTCTATCAGGAAGCATTCATTTCCTTCATTAGTGACCGAAGGACACCAAGGAAGGACGACACATCGTCACAGCCCTCGAGAAGATTGTAATTTTGTTGGCCAGCCTGAATTAACATGTACTGACGCCAGGAATTATTTCAGGAATCTTTCTGTTGTGTAAAGCAAGACAAAACCTCTGTTTAGATACCAGTGGTCCATGTACCTTGGTCTGTGGGCTTTCCAGGAGAGGGGCGGTGACAGCTCACCTGACCTTTGATCACGCGGGAACCAGCGTTGGGATGCTGGAGCCTGCCGGGCTGGGTGAGGGCTGAGGGCCTCTCTGCTCTGTCCCCTGCCGCCCCCCAGGACTGCACCATCTGTATGGAGCGCCTCACAGCCTCCTCGGGCTACAAGAATCCACAGCCGACGGTCAAGCCTGACCTGGTGGGCAAGCTGTCCAGATGCGGCCACATCTTCCACATCTACTGCCTGGTCGCCATGTACAACAACGGCAACAAGGTGGGTGCCGGCCGTGGCCACCTTCTGCGCTGGTCCCTGGGGGAGCGGGAGTGTGAAGGCCCCGTCGGGGTTGCGCCCAGGAGATCCGGGGGGTCTTGAAGGCACGCCAGGAGTGATGCTCGTGGCTGTTCTCAGCAGGTCCCATCCTCCACAAAATTGTAATGTGGCAAAATGTGTCTTTACCTTTCCTTTCTGCTGTGCTTACCCAGTACCCACTCTCTCCTCCCCCACTCCCAGTCTCTACACTGGGCATGGTGGTCTAAGTGGTGTACACTTCTGTCCCTGAAGGTTCTGGGGTGGAGGGGGGGTGGTCCATTGTCATGGCCTGTTGCTGGGAGAAGGGGGCCCCGCCATCCGTGAGGGAGAAGCAAGTTCTCGTCACGGCACTGGGCCCACGGTGAGCATCCGTTCCTACCGACATAGATTTGCTAGTCACCCTTCCTTCTCCGGGGCTAGTGATTTTCAGTTATCATTTCTTTTCTTTGGACATTTTCAAAACACCCTGATTACCCCTTCAAAAGCATTAGAGATTTTGCCAAGGTCTATACCTGGTCGCCCCTTACGATCCCGCTGTTGGATTTGGGGAAGGCCGTGATGCTCGCCTTGTCCCTTACAGACGGTGAAGTCGTATCCTCCCACGAGAGCTGGTTTCCAGGGATCTGGGAGTGACCTCGACGATAACTCTCTCTTTACAATGGCCCAGCTTTTTCTAAGTCCTTGACTTTTCTCATCTTCTTTCCTGTGCGTGAAATAATCTTCTCTCTTCATCTCCATGAATTCGAACCCTACTCATTTCTCCAGGCCCAGCATGGATTGCATCAGAGTTTGAGATTTGCCTGACACCCTGCAACCTCTTACTCATAAAAAAAAAAAAAAAAAGTGTGGCTTTGGAGACTGCTCTGTACTTCTCTAAAAAAAAAGGTCTGACTTTGGAGGCTGCTCTGCTCTGTATTTCTCTTGCTGTGGGTGGGGAGTGGAAGCAAGAGGGGCAGCTGACCTGACATTGAACCCTGGCTTAGTAGCCGAATGACCTTGGGCAAGATTTTCAACTCTCTGAGACTTCATTTTTCCACCTGGAAAATGGAGATAAAACAATACCTGCTTTATTGGATTTTTTTTTTTTTTACTGTTATGATTCAAATTGATATCTCCTTTGTATTAATTATGGCTACAGTTATTTTCTTTTACCTTTATATAGCCCTATGATTCAATTTCCCAAAGTGCCGAGGATCTTTCTCAGTGTCTCAGAAAGTGCACGTTCGATCATTGATGGACAGTGCGTATCTGGACCCCGAGCTCACGTTCCTGACTCTGAACTAAATGGTTACATTGGGACTTGGCATGTTAAGAGGTTGTTTTGGGTTTAAAAGAGGTTCTTAGTACATTCATTCCCTTTTGATGACTAAGCAAGAATAATCTAGTACTTCTTTGCATTTATTTCCATGGTTCTTTAAAAATGTTTCTTAAGATTATCCTTTATTATCATTGGCATTCATACTTTGAAGCATGTAGTTTTTTTTTGTTTGTGTTGTTTTTTGTTATTTTATTTTAATTTAATTTTATTTTTTATTTTAATTTAATTTTAATTTTATTTACACAGAAGAGGAAAGAAAAGGGCCTAGAGAGGAAAAGAGTGATTCACCCAAAGACATGAAGCAGGTTCAGGGCAGAGCGGAGAGGGGGACCCTGGCTTCTTGACCCCAAGCCTTGGATTCCCGTCCTTTGATCACGTGGAGTAACCTCTGTTGCCCTGAATACCGGCTATGCCTTGAAATGAGTAGAGCTTGAATTGAAACATCCCTAAATAGCTCCGCAGAGAATCCCTGCCTTCCCAAGGAGATGCAGGTGGCCTGGACAGCTCTGGTCCCAGCTGTGCGACAGCATTTTTCACACACGTTGCTCCCTGCGCACTCAGGCCTCCCCTCTTCTCACTCCCTTTCTTCTTGGGAGCCTGGGAATAGGATTTACTGTCCAGGCTCTCCTGCCCCCTCCCCCCGCTTCCAGGCAACACCTCACCAGGCCCTCTGTGAGACCGTGAGCCCTTACATCAGTACATCCAGAGTACCCCGCCCCCCACACACCCCCAAACAGAGCCCTGAGGTGCTGTGCAAAGCCTGGTCTCCTTCTCTTACCTGCCCCTTAGCGTGGAGTATGGGGCTGTTTGTGGAACGTATCTCCTGCCACTTTGGAGAGAGCAGAAACGGCCTAGTAGCCAGGCAAGGGGGCGCCGAAGGTCTGTTACTCCTTTGGGTACACTGTGTCCCCCTGGCCCTTCATCTCTGGTCCTTTTGGGGGTTGGGGGCAGGTCATTACCAAAACCGTTCTCCCATCTCGTTGTTCTGGCCTCGTCTCCTCAGGATGGGAGTTTGCAGTGTCCAACCTGTAAGACCATTTATGGGGTGAAGACAGGCACCCAGCCTCCGGGGAAGATGGAGTACCACCTCATCCCCCACTCCTTGCCCGGCCACCCAGACTGCAAAACCATCCGGATCATCTACAGCATCCCCCCTGGCGTTCAGGTGAGCCCACCCTCTGCCATTGGCTGTCATTGTCTCGGGTTTAAATGTTTGCAGGTAAATGTTTCTTTTAGTCCACTTAAGATTCTGTAACCAAACACCACAGATCGGTGGCTTTTAAACAACAGAGGTTTATTTCTGGAGGCTGGGAAGCCCCAGACCGAGGTGCTGGCAGGATCCGTGTCCGGGGAGAGCCCTCCTCCTAGCTCATAGATGGCCATCTTCTTGCTGTGTCCTCAAGTGGTGGACGTGGAGAGGGAGCTCTGTAGATGTCCTTTTTAAGGGCACTAACCCCATTCATCAGGGCTCCACCCTCAAATCTAATCATCTGCCAAAGGCCCCAGCTTCTACTTCCATCATATTGGGTAGTAGGTTTCAACATGTTAATTTTGGGGGACACAAACTTTTGGTCTATAACATTTTACCCCTAGTCCCCCCAAATTCATGCCCTTTTTCTGTGCAAAATGCATTCATCCCATCGCAACAGTCCCAGAAGTCTTAACTCTCGATCCGGCATCCACTTGAAAGCCTAAGTCCAAAGCCTCGTGTAAATATCACCCAAATCAGACACGGGTGACCCTCCAGGTACAACTCATCCCGAAGCAAATTCCCATCCAGCTGCGAACCCGTGAAACCAAACACGTTACGTGGGGGCCTCGCCGGGCGCTGAATCTGCCCACACCTTCAGCCGGGCCTCCCCAGCCTCTGAACTGTGAGAAATGAACTTCGATTGACAAAAGCCACCCAGTCTGCAGTGTTTTGTTAACCACAGCCCGAGCCGACTAAGACGAGGACGTCCTGCCCTGAAAAAGCCTCCTTCTCATTCTCGTCCCCCATCGACTGGGTCTTACCAGGTCCCCCACTCCCCACCATCATCCCTACTTTCTTCTGTCTCCTTCCAGGCCCCTGTGCCCAAGCAGCAAAGGCTGCGCCCACCCCTCCCGTGTTTACACAGAGCGTGACATCTTAAGCCACACCGTTCTGTAGTTCTTTGCGTGTCGTTGCAGAGAGCTTCCTCATGCTTTCTTAGCTCTGCGGAATAACCCGTCGTGTCGAGGTACTGTCATTCATGGTCAGCCGTCTCTGCGGGACGGCCATATGGATTGTCCCCAGTTTTTTACGGCAGCAAGTAATGCTGTAGTGAGTGCCCATGGACGCGTGCAGGTATATCTGTAGAACAATCTTCTAGAGGTGGCATTTTCTTGTCAAATGGTCTTTACATTTGTAATTTGATAGACATTCCTTGCCTTCGATTTTTTTGGGCCTTTCTTTCTTCTCCGGATTCTTTGAAAATGGCAGTCCTAAGGAACAAATCGAACAGTTTTCCCGACGGTATATGCGAATGTGTCCCTTCTTTCACACACTGACGCTTTTTCGAAATGTCCTCGTGTGTTTACTGGATTAATGTCTTTCGTAAATATTTATTAGTTCGCCCTCCCTCTGCCTCCCTCCTTCTTCCATCGTGTCTCTTATTTAACAAACTCTGAATGTGGATTATGGGCCGGCCTGGTTCTAGATGCTGGAGGGAAAATAGGGAGCATAGGGGCACAGTCCTTCCCTGGAAGTCCTCATTCTCGTGGGAGGAAGACGTCAATGCCGTCAACAGAGAACTCAACGAGGTGCTTCCAAACAGCGGCCAGCGGAAGAAATGAAACAGGGAGATGAACTGAATAAAAACACAGTTCTTCTTCAAGGGACCGACCCACCAGTCAGGGAGAAAGAACGATACATCACCAAGCTACTGAGCGGAAAAGGATGTGTCCCCCCGATAAACGTCGTGGGCGGCAGTGTGGACGAGGGCGACACAAGACGTTCGAAGTCTGAGGGGCCGGCTTTCCATTCCTGGCTGACCCTCACAGGCTGGGGACTCTGGGCAGCCATTGACCTTCCTGACTTCATTTCCTTATCCGTGCAGCCAGGCACCTACTATGCAGGGGTTTTTGTGAGGGCGAGAGAGAATATGTGGGGGTGGGCGTGTCGGGGTACCGGGCACAGTACTCCAGTGCTCAATACCTGGTCGCCATCATTATCGGAGCACCCCACTTGTCAGGGCAGGGAAGACGGCCTGTGTCTGTGTGACTAGGGGGTGGGAGGAGACTTTCTGGGACAGGGTAGTCGCCAGTAGAGCCTTGAACGGCGTGGAGAAATGGAGAAGAGCGTTTTTAGCAAGGGGAGACAGCAGAGTTGCAAAGGAGAGAGAGGTGGGGGTGTCGAAGGGCCATGGGGGAGTGCTTCCTTTGGGGCCTCCCCGGTCAAGGTCACAATATCATTGCCCTTTCTCAGGCCAGTGGAAGCTCGGGCTTCCGTGAGGCATCGAGACCGTGGAGCTCGGCCCTCACTGCAGAGCACAGTTCCCTGGGGGAGAACCTCGGAGCTGGGCTGAGGCAGAGTCGTGACTGCTCGGAGTAGCCATGTGCCAGGCGCTCGCAGCCTTGCTGGGTCAGCGCCAGGCAGGCGTCTGTGCTGGCTGCACGACAGACCAGTCGCAGGCAAGAGAGGAGCAGGCAGAGCCGTGGGCAGAACGAGCCCTTCAGCCAGGCAGCCAGGCTGGGACGCAGGATGCTGCAGATGTGGCCTGATGTCGCGGGAGGCCGGTCCCGCCGCTCCAGAAAGAAGACACTGTTGCCTCGCTCAGCTCACGGGGTTCTTCCCCTTCTCCTGACCCCACGGCACTTTTCATGCTGTTCACTTTGCAAAATCCTAGGTGATCTTGAACCCTTAAAACATTTTTAAACAATTAAAATCACAGAATTTAAAAAACATTTTGCCACCATTATTCTTAATAAGTGACTTTGAAAAATATCTCCGTTTCCTTGCAGTTTTATCATTCATTCATCCATGCCTTTGCTCATTCATTTATTCAGCCAGGACCTATGTGCCGGTCGCCTGTGTGAGCACTGGTGCCAGGACAAGCATGGACTTATCAGTATTATGGTTTCATCCAGAAGGAGTTTGAAAATCGGGCTCTGCAGACTCTGAGGGAATCGGGGATGCTTGGAAACTGTAGACAGACATTCGTGTGCAGGCTAAAAACCCCTCGCTTTTCACGAATATCTCAAAGGGGCCTGTGGGCCATTCTGGACCCTGACGAGGAAGCCTGATTTGTGGCTAAATGCTGCTTCAGGTTCGTCCCCGCCCCGTGGCCTGAGACTGCTTAATAGGAAGGGATGATGACAGTGGAAATGTTGTTAGAGGATTTTTAGTCGTGAACCCATATCGGAAAACAAGAAAGCCAACAAGAACCCATGAGGACAAAGGAGAAAATGCACAAGAACCCTTCGGATAATTCTGACTGCCCGCTCTTGGCTCAGGGCTCAGAGGCACTCACGTCAGTTGTGTGGCGTAAAAAGCCCAGAATGTGCCGGGAGAAACCTTAAGTTTTGGCAAAGCCAGTAAGGCTACGGAAGTCATTTACCCTCTGGGGACCAGCAGTTTTCCTCTTTTGTAAAACAAAACAGAATGGAGGATGAGGGTGATGAGGAATATTTGCTAAACCCTTAGTTTGCCGCAGGCTTCATGCTCACTTAACGTTCATAACAGCTTCTCCAATGAGAATGCCACATCCGCCCCATTTCAGGGGTGGGAGCCCACGCCCCCGAGAGGAGACTCCGGTTATGACAGGCTGAGAGGTGCCAACTCCGGGTTCGAGCCCCTTTCTGAGGACTCCAAAGGGCTTATGGTTAAACTGCTCCGACTGTTTCTTGGGTCTGCTCTCTGTCTAGACCCTACGGCCGTTATTATTGTCATCATCATTTGAGTTGGTCACAGCCTGCATCCCCTCATCAGAAATATTTCGATAAATGCCCATCGCTTGCTTTCTTTCTGCTTTCAGGGGCCAGAACACCCGAATCCTGGGAAGAGTTTCAGCGCCCGTGGTTTCCCACGACACTGCTACCTTCCAGACAGCGAGAAAGGGAGAAAAGTAAGAGCGGATGTCAGGTTATTTACTTCTGTGCTGGGGCCCCTAGTTTTGCTCCCTGTGTTGCACAGGCTGAGGAGAACTGGGTCCCTCTTAACTCCAGATGCACGTGGTAACAAGGTCACGGTTGAGTCATCCGGAGGTAAGAGTGGGTATGATTAGAATTGTTGTTGTAGGTCGGTGGGGATGGGGCTTCGGCTTTTTCCTCTCCCAGATATTACTGGCAATAATTCATCTATTTTAGGATCTTTCCTTTCGGGTTTTCGCTGCTTTACTGAGATCAACACCTGTGGCAACATCTAGAAGCTTGATGCAGGACCTTTGAACCTAGTTCATTTTAACAAGGTCCCAGGTGATCTGACGGCACATTAAAGCTTGAGAAGCTCTGTTCTGGGACAGGAAATGGTGGCTCGTAATTTTAATGTCTGCTGCTCGTAGTCCTGCTACTATTAGGATGTCCCGCCTTCAACCCATACCACATTGACAAATGTTCGGTTTGGAATCCAACGCATTTTTATCAGATGCCTTCTTCACTCTGACCAGGGCATTAAGTATTTATTTGTCTTGCTCAACGAGACAAATTTTAGCTGAATTCGAACATTCTGCAAGCCCTAACACCGCTCCGGGCCTGACGTGTAAAATAGAAACAATAATAGCACCTGCCAGACCTGCTTCCAAGTGTGGTTGTGAGAAGCAGATGAGAAAATTAATAGGAAGTAGCCGTGAAAGAGGTCAAAGCGTTTCAACCGTGACATTGGAGAAATATGCCATAACGTTAGCAGTGGGTGAATTAATACCACATTCAGGTGGGGATGGAGGCGGAGGGCACAGCTTCAGAAGGTCCCAGATTGGACATGCCTTGAACTCCTAGATCCTGTCTTTTAACATGCAGCTGTGATGTCGGTAGCTGACGTGTCGAATCGTGTGTGCCTGGCGCTACTGGTTAAGTCTTTTTCCTGTAGCAGCAGCTCAAGTGCTCAGAACCTTTAGAGGCAGATCGTACTGTTGCCGTTTTATAAATAAGGAGACTAAAGCTCAGAGAGGTGATAGAACTTGTCCCAGGTCATACAGTTCGTTGGTGACAGAGCCACGGCTTCCCTGCCGGTCCCTGACTCCACGTCCACATTTTCCGTGCACAGTGCCGCTTAGGGCATAGGGACGCAGGAAGGGGTGGGGCCCTTGGGAGGACGGTCTGCCATCCAAGGGACAGTCTTTGCCCAACATCGAACGTCTGACTTGAATCTCCTGCCTCTTCTCTCATAGGTTCTGAAGCTGCTGCTGGTGGCCTGGGACCGCCGCCTCATTTTCGCCATCGGGACCTCCAGCACCACGGGCGAGTCGGACACCGTCATCTGGAATGAGGTGCACCACAAGACAGAGTTTGGCTCCAACCTCACTGGCCATGGCTACCCAGATGCCAATTACCTGGATAACGTGCTGGCTGAACTGGCCGCCCAAGGCATTTCTGACAGCACTGCCCAGGAGAAGGACTGAGCTGGGAGGGCTTTGTGGGGAGGGGCTGTGGGGGCTGCGGGACAGGAAGTGGGGAGAGTCAAGGTGGACGTTGGTGTCCTGCCCTCTCAACTCCCTCATCTCCCCTCCTGTCCTGTCTCCATTCCCTTCTCCTTCCAGCCACAGTGGGGGAGCCCTGTGGAGTACGGGGACACCATTCATAAACCATCCACCACAAAGGGGACATGGGACGGGGCCCATCCCTGGTCCGTTCCCATGGAGTTTTCGGTGCTGGGTAGGCAAGAACACTGCCCCTCACGCCCCCCGAAGTGGGCATGGCGAGCACACTGAGGTGTGGACAACGCCTGGGCACGCCATACCCTGGCCTTGTGAAGCCCGAGGTGCGTTGCCTCGGCTGGCTTCTTGCTGCTTCTGCTCTGCTTTGAGGGTGGAGTTTCTGCTTTTCTCTCCTCCACGGGAGGCGAGGAGCTCTCACTGTGCAAGGTTGGGGGGCAAAGGGGTGAACCGCTACACGGCTGTGACATCAGAAACCGGTGCCTCGGTGTACAGCGAGGCACCGCTTCTTGCCAAGCGCATCAGAGAGGCCAAGAGTTCTGGGAGCACGCTCGGCTCTCAGATAGTCCTTGGCTTCTCCGGGCCCTCCCCGCTCCCCACACTTTTGACCAGTCCAAAGAGACGTCTGGTTCTCTCGTGCGGATGGATGGGCTCTGGGACTCCTCTCTGGGTGGCATCCCATGAGGTCATTTCCAGCCACCCCCTGATCAGACCAGAGCCTGCATCCCACTTAGCATCTGAGCTGCCCTCAGAGAGAGGAGCCCACAGCCTTCTTCCCAACTCATCCCGACCAGCTCAAAGATTCCCTGAGTCTCATCAAGTCACTGTGAGTGGAGCCTGTGCTGGGCTCTGTGCCATCTGTGTGTGTGCATATCTGTGTGTGTGTGTGTGTGTGTGCGTGTGCATGTGCGCGTGTGCACGTGCACACCTCTGGGCCAGGTTGGAGGAGGCTCCCATCACGTTCTCACACTCTGTTTTGCAAGATGTCAAACCCCAGTTCTGATGGGGATCAGATAGCCGGGG